ATGGCCTGGGAAAATGCGTTTATGGCACATCGATGGAAATCGAAAGGCCATTAAATAGTTTACTTTATGCATGGCAGGCAGATTTCTACCCTAAGGTTATTTACTCGCCCGTACATCCCAGACTCATCAGGATGATGATGATGATGATGATGGACCCGTCAAGCGCTTTGAGCCAACTTAGCATCAACCACATGAACAACTTTTCCTTTCTTATTTTCCACTTTTTTGGCCTAGCACGTAGTTACCGCATGTTTCTCTATGAGTTCTTGCCTTTCCGGATTCCTAAGTGTCCTGGCCAGCAAGTTGTGCGGAAGTGTCTATCATATGCATGCTAATAGCTTCCCCTAAGGTAGTTCCTGGGCCCAACTATATTACGTGGTGATTATGGGTGCTTTTTTCTGTGCATCCAAAGCCATTCAGCTTTGTAAAGCGGCTCAGATGTGTGTTAGTATGCGTCATAATAAAATATGTACTATATAAGGATTCGTTAACTATTAATTAGTGTTCACCACAAATACTAACAAAGATAACATCCCAACTCGTCCAGTGCATCAACCGCAAAGAAAAAGTCGCATACATACTCGTATGTATCTGGAATCCCTTTGCGGATTTTCCGCCTGGCGGTAATGCTTTTGCATGCTGTCAACACAATTATTTGACCACATTACAAAAAAATTGCTGAAACAATGCCCCTGAACAACAGAGGTTTGCAGCATCGGTTGCAAACAGCAGAAACAACTAAAATTTGGTTGCAAGCTGACAACAGATTCACATGTGCGGCAGTACACGAATTGTATGTGGCTATAAAACAATAATTGTGGCGCAAAAGTGTTGCAATTGTTTTTTATATTAATTGAACATGTTGCATGAATAAATTCATTGCATTGCTAGTTGTTCCAAATCTGTCGAAAAATTTTTTATTACAAGTCTTGTATGCCTTCTGTTACCTATTCACAAAAGCGGAAAAAACAGAAGCTACCCAAGTACAACTCGCCAGGGTCGAAGGTCACAGGATCAAGCGGGGACAAATATATTCACATTCCCAGGCTATACATCTGCGTGTGAATAAACATATGCATGACCATGCAAATGTGTCAGCGGGACGCGCGAAATGCAAATGAAAATGATATGTGTTTACATGCTAAGGGCCAAAAACTGTTTTCAGTCAGCGAAATAAAAAGGGAGCTGCCAAATCCCCGCCGGACTAAAAACAGTCATCTCTGGCCTCTTTTCGCAGCTCCCCATAAATTTGGATGACAGCCGAGGTGACAACGTGTCAACAAGCACCGCGGGCGGCTGCCACGCCCCCTCAATCACAGCGCCCACGCCCACACACACACACACACACACACACATACGCACATGAGGGGTCATAAAGCGAGCATCAAATGTCTGGCAAAGCGGGCAATTAAGTATCCGCTTTAAGAATATGTGCGCGCTCTTTAAATGATTGATTATTCGAGTTCGGAAATCAAGGGCAGCATTTCGTTGGGGATTCTGAAACTGACCCCAGCATCCATGTTCCTGACCTCAGGCGAAGAATACAGGGGTGTACCTATAAATAATAGTTATATCAAAACGGGCAAGTCATTGCCGATTTAAGTTTACCCATAAACAGGCTTTTAAAATGCGTATGGATATCGAGAATAAGATTTTGTATAAGATTTTGAATAAGTATTTGTAAGATATTTTATGAATCTCCCCCTTGGATACGCCCCTGCCAATATCTCTTATCAGTGGAGTTGCCAATGCTGTTATCGCCGTTGTAAGTGGCTGTCGCTGTCATCTGCCAGGAGCAGAAAAATAAAGGAAATGGAATAAAATTCGACACTTGGCCCCCGCTCCAGGTTCAATTTGTTTTCCTCATATTTCTGTGATTTGTTATTGAAATGGTTATTGTTGCTGGTTTTGCCCCCTCTCAAATGTGCGTGACAGCAACAACAATGAGTGGCACGAGCTTATTTTATAATCACAGCAATTTTCGGAGCTTGGCTCAAAGATTTTTTTTAGATTTTTTGTTATCTCACATATTTGCATTTTATTATCGCTCGCCCTTTTTATTGACACAAATTATTTGGGCTTTGGTATATGCACGTTTTTCTTTTTGCTCGAATATGTGTGACTTTTATTTGTCGTCAGGTATTTGATATTTTATTTCTGATTGCCTCGGGATTTTCGTTGATGTTTATTTGGTTTGCTTACTTGCCAAATATTTTCAAAGGATTTCCCAACGAATCGTAACCAATTTGAAGTGGCAAAAATATGAGAAAAGATTGAATTATTTCCATTGGCATGCAATGTACACTTTATTCAATCGCTTAAAACTTAATGAAAAAACATAGTTATATTTATGACACACGCCTAATGCGTTTAAATGGATTAAAATTGCCGACAAAAAGTGCTTGATTATCGGATTTAAATCGAACTGCAGATGATCTCATTATTTCTTCTTGTGTTCCCTGCGAAATACACAAAGAAACTTTCCCAATCGGTTGACCGAAAAAAGATGAAACGCAAACCCTTTTTGGCCAGTCATTTCCCAGCTATTAAGTCCGTTTGCTGGGCAAACACAATTTTCAGAAGACTTGTATCTAATTGATGACGGGATGCTGTGTTTGAGCCAACTGAAACTAAAATTGAAATCGATGCCGCTGCAGAAAGCAAAGTAGGAAACTCCAACAAAGGCACGTTCACACACACACACGCACAACAAAACACACACACACGTGTGCGAAATCGCCATTCATAAATCATCATATTTTCACCCGATTTTTCCCCATTTTTCCGACCGATTTCAGACCTCTGCGGGAATTGTTTGCCTCCGGTTCAGCAACGCGGAAAAAAGTACAAATATTTGTTATGGTAGCTCACACAAAGGCTTATGTTGTCATGGACCGGGGTATGCCATACATATATCTTCTATATTGTATTCACAGTTTTTTTTTCCTGCACAGTCCATGTTTTGTCATTCACTCAATTTGGCAAACAACCGAATCATTAGCCCGACTGGACCCTATTTTCCATTGCCATTCTGCTGCTGCCGCCTCTATATCCACTTAAAGTTACAACAAATTAAATAAGTTTCAACTCATTTACCAAGTCATTTTCCTGCCAACTTTGCTCGTCATCAGCTTCGCCGGCTATTTGTGTTTCAGTTTAGTTTTATGACGAGCCCTCCGCCCGATTTTGGCCCCATTTTATACCCATTTCGGATCCATGCAAAGCGTATTCTACACAAAAGAAATCAGCTAAAAATTTATTTACCCTGACTTTGGCAGCGGAACTGGAAAACGGGAAAGTTTTGCGCTTTTGTTTGAAATTTGTTTCGCATTTGTAAGTTGAAATGCTCGCCCTAAGAAAGGAGGAATCTCCCAAAAAAAACAAAAAAACCAAAATAAAGACAGAAACACAAATAAAAGCTTTGTCCTGCTCCTCAAAGGAGAAGTAAGCAACCGGGGCACTGAGGTTCCAGGAAAACCATCCCCCACAGACCCCAAATCTCAGGTTCCGTTTGCTGTTTTCCCTGATCAGAATGTTCCCCAGGTTCCCCAACTTTCCCTTTTTTCCTTTTTTTTTTTTTGGCTGGCCAGCAGCACCGGCTTTTATTCAATTTAACTTGCGCCCCCGGTTTTCATTCGACTTTCAGGTTACAGCTTAAACAAATTTCGTCCATTTTAAAGGTTCGGCTACCGTCTGCTGGCCAAATTGATCTTATTGACACTTTACTTACGGGCCAAATGGTCTGGACGGCCCTATTTTTAGCCAAACCCAATGGCCGTGTCATTTGTAACATTTTCGCTACGGACTCGAGGGCTCAGCATTATTGCAATTTGGGGGCTTGATGGGCGCGAAATGGGGGGCTGAAAAATATTGCCTGTCCATAAAGAAATCCTTATGGTTGTTTCCGAAAAAAATGAGAAAAGCTACGGCATTCAACAGATGCCAGTGTGTCTTATTAAGAGCATTTCGTTAAAAATGAATTCTGAAAATGTATAGAATGAAAAGGACTCGTCATTAGGTCAATTTGTTTGGAATCCAAATTGGCAAAAGAAACGTTTGTACATTTCGGAAAAATTACCCTTAATTTCAGCGATAAATTTGTATCAGAACATTGGCCTTAAAGCGACAGATATAAAAACTTTAACTAATCAAAGTTATACTTGAATATAAGTTTCAACTGAAACTGTTCCTGTTCCTACGCCTTATCGATCCCTCTTCCCCCAAACTTATCCCAAACTATCTCGTTAAGAAATTCCTTTTCCCAGCGGCTACACGGATTCATGTTCGACCAGATTCTGGACACAAATCCCGCGCCCAAATCTCAGGGCACACGCAACAACACAGTAAACACAAGTATCTCTCACCAAATATGTGGGATACTCAACCTGCAAATACAACCTAACTACACTTCAAATATTTAAAAATGGAAAATTCATTTTGTTTTCAAATTCTATATAAGACAACCAGATTTCCGACAATCTTCTAGGAATTGTTTGTAAAACATCCTAGCTTGCAGCGAACTTTGGAAAGTTTTTAATGTTATTCGAAAGAGTTTCTCGCAGTGCACACACAATTGTACTTTTATGGGAATAGGGCGAGAGTGGTGCGCTGAGTTATGACGTCCAACAGCTGTGCAAAACGATGGCCACAGCATCGGGAATAGCAGCTCATATGTGGGCCAGTTGGCCTGAAATATGTTGCATAAGCAACTCGAGAGGGGGCGGGGGGCAATATCATTTGGCAGCTCACGAATGAGGCTTGGCTCCCGGGAAAATATGGCCAAAATATAAAAAAATAAGCCGGGCAGTATTAAATAAAAATGGCTAGCCGACAGTATGGTCCTGCATTGTTTGTCCGACCAACCCAATCGTAAATCGTGTGGACACATAAGAGAAAAGGTAGAAAGTACATATTGCAGCCACTTAATACAGTCATAAGTCGGACAGGGCCCATTTACAAGCTGGCCAAGGAATACAATGCTGAATCGGTTTCCTTTGCAGGCTACTTTCCCTTGGGCTCGGAGCACTGCCTGACCTGGATCTGCCTGGATGTCCTCTTCTGCACGGCCAGCATCATGCACCTGTGCACCATCTCCGTGGACCGGTATTTATCGCTGCGATACCCAATGCGATTTGGCCGGAATAAAACACGTCGGCGCGTCACGCTCAAAATTGTTTTCGTTTGGCTTCTGAGCATCGCCATGAGTTTGCCCTTGAGCTTGATGTACTCGAAGGTGAGTAATTCGCTGTTCTTTCATCTCAAAATATTTTATCACCTAATCTAACAAATATTTTCCTACTATGTTGTAACTACATTGTACCCTTTGGCATTCTATGCTCCACATTAATCTAATAGTGCAAATCCATCAAGAGGCTACGACTTTTAACAGATACATTGCCCAGTTAACCCTGTAATTAAAAATAACAAAGATACTGTGCCCACTCAATAGTTGAAATCCGCAGGGAGACAAATGTCTGATATACTTGCGCATATGTCCTTCACTTACCCAAATTAATTCCGTGCTCGCCTGCTATCTCCCCTTTTGATTCCAGAATCACGCCTCGGTGCTGGTAAATGGAACTTGCCAGATACCGGATCCGGTGTACAAGCTGGTCGGCTCCATTGTGTGCTTCTACATTCCGCTGGGCGTGATGCTGCTGACATATTGCCTGACCGTCCGCCTTTTGGCCCGGCAGCGCCAGAATCTGGGTGGCGGACAGCAGACGGCGGCGGCCACTCCCGGATGGGCCAGTGGATGGCTCGGCCAGGCACCGGCCTTGGGTAAGGATGCTACACTTGCACACCACTTTTAACCCAGAAGTGTCCACGGAGAGCAGCAGCAGCTTAATATGATTTTCAGTTTGCCTAAAATTTGCATTTTGTTCTCCGGGCTGCACTTTTTGCACTGAAAACTTTATACGACACTCGACAAAAGTAGAGAAAATGGGCGGATCGGGACTCGGACGGGAATGAGCAAGTGGCGCAAGTGGGGGACAACACTAGACAAACAATGCAGGGACATGTGCCGGATACTCCCCGAATCCATGTCCCAGGGATTTCTGAGGCCCAAAGTGCGACTAAGCCGCAGCAATGCACACAAAATCGACATTGTCGTCGACATTGAACCGGATGAATGGGGTGCAAACACCGCAGGACAATCACCCACCAGACACACAACCTTACAAATGGGATGAAAATCCGGCCCATATGTGTAGATAGCTAATTTCCACGTTGCCATGCATCGAGAGCCAGCAACGTAAATGGCCATGTAATGCTCTAAGAGCTTTCCTATAGTTTTAAAACTAGTTTTAAAACCGAAGTTTTAAGCACTAACTTTTCGACGAAGGCTCGTTATAAACTCGTTGCGATGGGAGTTTTTAAAAACTCAAGAGCTGCGGTACACTTAAAGTTATGTTAACTGCTTTCTGAAATTTCCATTACACTTTCCCGCAAATCTAAAAAAAAAATTGAGAGAAATTTAAAGAGTTTTAATTGTTTCGTGCCGCCCTAATTATCCATCTCGCTATAAGCCCAGTTTACTTGAGCTTTTGGCTAAAACAATTCAAGATTCTGCACTTCCATTATCCCTTTACAATTCAATAGACCAGATTCAATTTATTTTAAGCATAACTAAGTGGGTCCTAATGCCTTTGTCTGCCCGCAGAATTTATTCAGCGCTCCCATTTCTCATCCGATTGGATTGCCTTGAGCCCCAAAGGGGACAGTGAGTAATTTTCTGGGGGACAAGCGAGAGCTGTGGATGCCGAAAGTCAATACAGTTGGGGAATATTTAATGGACTGCTGGTGGTGAATGGTAAATGCTGAATGGTGATGGTGATGCTGATGGTGATGGTGACTGCACCGAATCGCGTGCACTGCAGGCCATTTTTGCGAATCGTAGCGAGCATTTAGGGGTGTCCCCGATTCGTCTGAGTGGATTTGGAGCCGCAGCTGCAGGCATTAGGGTGTGTATGTGTGGGTGCGCATCTGTGAGCGCCCAAGTGCGACTGTGTTGGTGCCGTGGATTTGGGCAGTTATTTTAAGCCAAATCTCTGCTGTAAAGCGTTCGAATTTCGGCCAGGCACGTAGTTCGATTTGCCATATTGTACTTTTCACACGGAGGGAAATTTCTAGACATCTATTGTACAAAAATCAATCTATTTTAATTGATATAAAAATGATATTTAACAAAAGTAGGACCAGCTTCATAATCAAAAATTCAAAAGGACTAAACTGGCTTAGCTTGACTTTTCGCTTGCATTTCTCTCAGTGCATATGTTGAAGCGGCATTTGAGTATGCTCGTGCGAGTTTATTAGCGAATTTGTGTCTTTTCGTAGCGCACTATTGGACTGAATGCAATTTAATGGAAGCCGTAGATCCGTTTAACCCCTGTTCGTGTTCCACAGAACGACGATGCACCTGGCGACGCCTTTTGAAGCCGGGTCCGGGTAACGCCTCCTCGGTGCTGCACGCCCACTCGGCCAATTCCACGGATACGGATCTTAGCACTTTGGACAACCACGAGCTCTGGCTGCCCGATTCCAGGTGAGTTATCGAGTGAGCCAATCAGTGTCGTAGTGCAAATTACCATATATATTATTTATGTTTATGTAGCATAAAGGAGCCCACGCCCACGACCATGACGGCCCTGCATCAGTTCGGCGCCGAGATGCTGAAGCTATCCCGTGGCCTGGAGTCGGTGGCCTCGTCATCCACCACCGGTTCACCCACCAAATCCGAATTTTCCCTATCGAACCACCTGCAGCTGCAGTACCCCAGCAGCCCCCAGCGATATGCCACCCACCAGCAGACCCACCAGCAGTCCCACCATCAGCAGCACCATAACCACCAGCAACATCCGGGCGGAGCTTACCACCAGCAGGCATCCCCCAAAGGTCGCCACGGAGCCACAACTCTGGGCTTGTCCACCACCACGCTGGGCATCGAGCGGGAGAGCACCCGGAATTCCCTGGCCAGCAGTCGCATGGGTGGCGAACAGAGCGATGGGTGAGTCCAGTCTGAAATGCTATTAAATAATCGGCTTTAACCTTCAAGGACCTAAATTACTGAGCAGAAGTTATTGTGTGTAAAGTAATACAATATTTTTACAAGTCTGGAATATGGCGGTAGTGAAATTACAATCTTTTGTTCTTTAAGGCCTTTACAACCACCTAAAGATGTAATGTGATGCAGAAATATAATTAAATTGGTCCACCACTTAACCAGAGCAGCCAGAATCTCTATTGTTACAAATAATATTAACACAGACAATTAAATTCGTTTAACTTCATCCTTTTTGTGGTCTGCAATTTTCGGTAGTATTTTGTTAAATCCCTCGAAGAGCGTAGACAATTCGGAAAGGTACCTGGGAAAAACGTAAAGTTTCTTTGGCTCTTCACCTGACAAAAGGACAAACAGCTGCGATGGGCAAACCGTTTTGCCAGAGTGATCCTTTCTAGGCGCCCGCAGGACCTTTTGTTGTCGCTGTCTCAGCTCGTTGGCCAAGTGCGCTGACCACACCAAAAGCCAAGAAAATGCTCACCTCGAGTCCTTTTTGTGACTCGTTTGCTTTCTCCTTTCCATTTATTTCGTTTTTTTCGTGAGCTCCTTTTTGTTGCATTGCCTTTTATTGTCCTTCCGCCTTCGACTTGTGAAATTTTTCGTAATAATTAAATTTTTTTGCTTTCGTTTTCCTTTTTGCGTTTTGTCGGTGGAAACTGTTTTATTTTGTTGGCCTAAAGGGAGAGGCGCTGCCTTTTTATTTGGCATTCGAGCCGCTCAAGTGATTTTGGCGTCGACTGAGGCCTTTTGCCAAAATGTGTTTTTCATTAATTTTCTAATTTTAGTCGACTGGCTTATGCTGGGATAAGTGATGCGACGAGAAATTCAATTAAAAAACTGAAATCTTAGAAGACGAATGTTTTAAAATTTCCAAGAATTTAATAAGAAATCGAAACAAGGCTAGACTGGCATATACAAGTAGACAGTGGGTATTCAAGTGGAACTAATATTAACTATTTAATTGCGTATGATATGAAATTCCACAGACAATCATAAAAAATGTTAAAAATACATTTCTTGATACCCAATCCAGTTTATTTTGATTTAATTGGTCAACAGATTTAGTCTGCAATATGCATCCAATAAAAGCTTGCATTTTTCGCAACGAACATCGCTGAAAAACCGAGCATTGATATCTTAAATTCCCAGTTCGATTTTAAGCTTGAAAAGGCAGCTCAACTTACGAAATGACTGCACATTTTATCTCACTCATATTTTCCCATTTAACCAATCCCTTGTGCACGTCTGTATCATATATCATTGTGACTGTGCGCTTTTCATTCAAATGGGCGGAGTATTGGAAGCACTATGTGCCACATTGTTTGACAGTTGAACGAATTTGCACAATCAATAAAATGGATTTGGCTTTGGCTTTGGCTTTGGCTACATTTTGTCCGCAATGGATGAGAGGCCAAGTGGCAAAGGTCGAAAAGAAATGGAACGGGGTCAAAGTCGAGTGGCTCTTAATTGTTGCACAATTTGCCGCCTCATGCGGTAAAGTTGACAAATGATGCTGGCGATATTCTAATTTTTGAACTTTGGCTTGCCACTCAAAATTAGCTTAACACTTCGCCACATAAGATTATATACTATATATATAGGGGGCGGTCCCCTGTGATGTCCTGATGAGCTTGGCGGCTGTTTAATTCCTTTGTGGGGGAAACAATAACATAAGTTGGCATCAGCTCGGCTTTGTTTCACTTGCATAATGAGGAGCTGGCCCCATTCCCCATACCCCAACTGCTTAGCCCTGCTCCAACGCATCTCAATTTATGCGCACGTCTCGTGCACACAAATCAAAAACGCGAAGGATGCATAATGAGCTGACATCCTTATCCTGCGTCTTGGCAGCACCGAGCACCCCGATCCCTGCCCTCCGCAGGCACCACCACTTGGCCTTCTGTCTGCTAACGCCTTCATTAGCAGCTAACCACGCCCCCATCGCCAACGCGCCCCGTCTTGGCCAAATAAAGTTGCCGCACATTTGCATGCAGGGTAAACGGGCGGCAGGACAGAAAACCACAAAGGCAGCTCGCAAATTTATGCGCTTTATTAAAATGAATGCAAAATGAGCCGGTACAGAAAAAAAGTTAATTTTTATATATTCATATACCTTTAAATTAAATCTACAAAAATATACTAAGCGATTCTGTAATTAAATATCAAAAATTCTACCACCAAATATTCTTTAAAGTAAAATAAAGTTTTAATAACTATATGTATTTGCTTAAAATTAATTCGCTATTTATTATACGCTATAGTTCAAACTCTTTAATTGCTGCAAAATGAGCTAAAAAAACAAAAAAAAAAATGATACTGTAAATAATAATGCAAGAATTTTCCAAGTGTACCGTGAACAACGGCGCAAATGAAAGGAAAACCTCTCAAGAAAAAATGTTAGAAGGCGGTAAACCACAAAGAGCAAACACAAAAAATGTTGCCTACTTTTTCCGACAAAACAGGTGAAAGAAACGAGCTGACCACAAAGCGTGTTGGCTTTTGTTGAATTGCTGTTAGCAGGTGTTCACTGCATTGTTTTAGACACATCGCCTCCGAATAGAGTTTTGCCAATTGGCTGCGCAATTTTAATTAAAAATGTACGTCACCAAAGGGGCGAAGGTGAAAGGAAATTGCTGGGAATCGGGTACTAAATCAATAAATCGGTGGGGTATGACATAGACATATTTTATATATTTTCGTTATTAAAACACCATGTGGTGCAGCTTCAACTTGGATCTTTTATCAAGCATTTAACAGACTTTAAGAACCTTGACTTTATAGTATAGGATATAAAGTTTTAATTGTTTAATCAGTAAAGTTATTTTTTTCAGGACTCTTTCACAGCTTTCCCAGCGACTGCGAGCGTATAAAAAGCGACGAAGAGCTTCGTCAGCAGTTCCAGGACGTGACCGACGTTCCGGTCATGAGGACGCAGACGAGGATGTGGACACGCCCACCTCAACGCTGCGGCGACACAAGCGCCACAATAGTCTGCCCAAGAATGCACTCTATCAGCGACACACCACTGTACAGGAGAGCCTCGATGACGACGACGAGGAGGAGGAGGAGAGTCCGCAACAGAAGGATCAGCAGGCGAAGACAAAGATCTGCCACTCGGACACTGAGCTAGATCCGCCGCAGAAGGCGAAGCAGTGCCACATAGCTGGCCAGAATCACCAGTCGGACTACCTGCAGCTGCCCTCCGTTTGCACCTGTCCGTATTTCGGGGACAGACCGCTCCAGAATTGCGTGAAATCGGCGGAGGTGAAGATTATTTCGTCCGCCTTCCGAGTGACCACCACCACGACGGCGGTGAGCAGCTCGCCCAGCGAAATGGAGCTACTCATGTGCAGTAGTGGCAACAAGAAGTCAATGACCTCCAGTGTGAGTGCCGGCACAACCGGTGGACCGGCAGGAGCAGGTCCTGCCACAGGTGGCTCCACCCTCAGTCCAAACTCTGCCCACAATCAGGGCAGTTCGCTGACTGTTCAGAGCGATGGTAGTGGGTACTTGGCTGCGCCGGGCACTCCATGTCCTGGCCGACGAAAGCTGAGCATCTCAAAGACCGCCTCAGTGGTTACGTGGGATTCCAGTCGTCATCGGCGGCGGGGCAGCAGTTTTGGTGGAGTGCGAACATCCCTGCTGCTGACACCCACCAAAACGGCGACCGCCTTCAACTCATCGACACCCTTGAGAAGATCGGCCACCTTGAGGAGCCACCAGAACATGAACTACCAGGGAGCAGGCGATTGTGGGGCCAAGACCAGGACGACCACCTCATCGCCCTGCATGTTGCAGCGACAGCAGACGGTGCGATCTCATCACTCGAGAAACTCCAGCGTAATCTCCAGGAACTCCTCGCGCCACGGCCGGATCATCAGGCTGGAGCAGAAGGCCACCAAGGTGCTGGGCGTGGTGTTCTTCACCTTCGTCATCCTGTGGTCGCCATTCTTCGTCCTGAATTTACTGCCCACTGTGTGCGCGGAATGCGAGGAGCGAATCAGCCACTGGGTCTTCGATGTGGTCACCTGGCTGGGCTACGCCAGCTCCATGGTGAACCCCATCTTCTACACCATCTTCAACAAGGTGTTCCGGCAGGCGTTCAAGAAGGTCCTGTTGTGCCGCTATTCCAGCACGAGTGCCTGGCGACCGAGCAGATAGCAGACGCCCGTTAAACCGGGCAAACTCAAGACGAATACCCACAAGTGCGCCAGTGTGGATTTTCAGGATTCCACTGCTCCGGTGCGGGGCGTTCTGAAAAGAAGTGTGGCAGTGGCAAGTGACATATAAATACGGGAAGGAGCGGTCATTTCGCCTGCGGTCTGCCGCACAACGTGGCGTATACGCAATCTCGAAGGGACGATAATGCCCACTGCTCACACGTGTGTCCTTGGGGCTTAAATGCTTATGTGCCTCTAATTAATTTCAAATTCAATTTGCATGCCATTGAAAACACATGTCCCAGGCGTAAGAAGTGGAGCTAAGTGAATTAGATTGAAGTGGAGTCGGATCCCGCAGGATTGCCAAGGGCTTGGGATTAAACTGGACGCAGACAACAACATAACGACCATGGTACTCACCCCTTGTGGTTCCTTTGCAAACCACCATTTCCCTTAGCCTTCAACAAACGGTGAGGATGCAATTAATTGCGGAATGTTTGTTTTCGAATAACGTTATGCCGGCAAACACATTTGCTTGGCAAGTTCGTGTCAGTCTGTAGATACATTTAACCATTTACCTCGAAACTCCCACTTTTAGTTTCACTACGTACTCTTAAAAGCATAAAAAGTACTCTAATTTAAGGAGAGTATGTCGAACACTAATTTTGGTAAATTTAAAAATTCCTAAAAAGGCGCCAATGTCGCTGCAAACTGCAAACTGCGATCGATAAACGCTTTTTTGTTCGACTTTTGGCAATTATGCATTAAATTTATGGCAAATTCGCTAGCCGCAAATGTACAAAGAATTTCATGGGCATCCATTAAAGAAACCGACACGTACACAAATCCACGGAAATTTGTGACTTTTGTTGTTTGTTTGTGTGGCTGGACCGGCAGATTGCTATTTTTATTTGAAAAGTTCATTCATTTTGTTTTATTTCTGTGGCCAAATGAAAAATTTCAGCTGGTCACGTAAGAATTTGACGGTCAGGATGTGAATGGCGCAGATCCGGTGGCCAGAAAGCAGCAAGAATCCGGCTGGCCGAATCGAAGACAAAGTCGGAGCAGCTGGCTGAATGTTGAAGGACATCAAACAACAAGGGGCCAACTGTAATAACGAAAGCCGGATGAAAGTTTCGAATGTGCTGCCAAGTTTTAAAGTCCCAGATGAGCGGTACACTTTTCTGGTTGGCTTGGATGGTTTTGGGCGGTGAGGGGTGGGGGGTGGCAAATGATAGGTAATGACGCCATTAGTGACAGCCACTCAAGGCCCCGTCTCGATGACACCTCACCCAAAAACAGCCGGCAAAATTTGTGCCATTTTTGCTGACAAATTTGTAGCGCCCCCGCACCGAAACTTCGCACAGCAGGCGGCTGCAGAAAATGCTGAGAACAGACATAAGGAAACCCCCGTGGCACTTGGAAATTTATAGCAATTTTATCGCCGGCGGAAATATTTTTTCCACTTCATTGAATCCTTGGCTGGAGCAGGAGCAGGAGCAGGAGCAGGTCGCGGCCCGGCTCAAAGTGTCGCACTTGGGGAACTTCATTGAACTTTAATGGCAGGCCGTCGGGCAAACAACAAAGCCAGGCCGTCAGAGACACTCGATGGACCTGGCTGTAACCCAACTTCCGTTTCCTCTATCACCTCGCCTTCCGCTGATTCTGCAACATATGTATGCCCGTTTGGGGGCAAAAAAATAAAAAACTAACTGGTGTGGGCCAAATACCTGGGAAAAGTTTCTGGAACTCATTTTAGGACCGCAAAATGCAAAGAGTGTAAATAGTCGGCTATCAAAAACTTTCTTTGTTGTTTCCCTGGCTAATACGTATCTTCATTCGCAGAACACTTTACCTTTCAAAGTGATTTCCCTAAGACAAGCTTTCGGGAAAATCTTCCTTCAGGGGTCTTTAAATCATATCAACTATTTCTCCCTGACAACTACCAGAAGTGTTTTCAACTTTATTGGTCTGATTAAAAAGTTGAAGAGCTCCTATAGTTACTAAACGGCAAAAAACATACACAATAGACAAGTTTTGGTAGTAGAAAATACTCAACAACACATGGCATCACACAACTGTCTGAAGCACCTAAGTCCTAGACAACTACACAATAGCATAAGTTTAAAACGAATTTAAAACCAACTCACACAGCACAGTAAATGTAACTTGTAATAGATGTTTTGAAAGTGAATATGTACTACCCACTAAGACGATAGGAAACTGTAAATTGTAGATTGATTAATCACTGATTTGATAAAATAAATCAGGAAAGGGGAGCATTGTGACAAAACGCTTTTACCAGTAGTTATAAGGAGTGGCATTTAGCAGATGCCCACTCTGGACCTAAACTGACCTATGGAATAAGTATCTCTTGTACATACTTCAACCAACAACAATAACACCCTTGGGGCAATCAAGTTGTGTATTATTTGTGTTTAGTCTAAGAATAGTATGATTGGAGTAGAAAAACCCGTCAAGCCCTGCCCTGATTAGATTAGATTGTTGTGTAGCTTGATGGGGATGTTTTGTGATTTGTCGACAGATGGAACATGATTACTATTGAATAACTAACTATCAAAACACTGAAAACACCTCAAACAGGACAATGGAAAGCCGAGAACATTTTTTGAGGGTTCAAACTTAAGGTTTCCACAGAGCGAAACTTTCGAATTTGTAAAAGAATTTAGAAAAACAAATGCGATACCAAGCTTAAGTTGCTTGCGTATTTTACATGGATATTTATCAATAAGCAGCTGAACTAATCAAAATTGCTTTCACTGATGCAAATGAAAAAGAAAAACATATTCATTAAAAGTCTAAATAGCCCGAAATGACATATCCCCATGTATAAGTGTGTATTTTATGATGTAGCCATAGCGAATCCTTCCTAATCTAAGTCAAAGACACTGAAACGTAGATAAAGAAATATGTGAAACATATTAGCTATAATGTTTTATGATTTGTACAAATGTTTTCTGATTGTATTCGGTTTGTATTAAATGTGCATTACCATAAATTGCCCGCCACTGCGTTTTATTGGAAAAATGTTCTTTGCAAAATGTATGAAATATAAATGGTAATGATGATTCGGCTGCCAGTCAATCCATCGAAAGCCACGTTCTGATGGTGGAAAAAGTATCTCAAAGGAAGCGCAAATATGCAACGCGTAAAGCCTCACATTAATATCCATATGGAATTCCACTTAATTAAGTAGCGAATTGCCTGGAAAACACTTTAATTTTGCTGCTAAAATATATTCCAGCTTAAACGGGTTTTGGGTTGAAAACGTTTTAAAATTTTAGTCAATTTGCTCAAGAATGTGCAACATATCGGTAAGTAAGGAGAATTTGTTGACTGAAGTAGTCAAATAGCATGGTTCTAATAACCATTCCCGTAATTGCTTTTGATGCGTCATTATAATGGGTAAAATATATAAATAGAACATTTTCCATCGACAGCCTAATGGCGCATCTGCAATTCACTTCACTTCTGTTGCCCACGTTGTGTCCACTCAAACAACATTGCGTATACGACCAGTTGGTCGGCGTGGACCGCATTCACTTGCAATGTGGGCGGCACTTAAGCGACAAGCCAAACAGAAAGGAGGTTGGTGCATTATCCTCACAAGTCCAGCGATAAAATGATAATTATGCCCGGCCACTTGACAAATTAATGCACGCTAATGCGGAACAAATTTTGTACATCAAGAGGCCGTTGAATTTTGCGAAGTGCGCAGAGAAAATCCCCCAACAAAGTAGCGAATCTAAACGGAAAAAAAGCCGTAAAAAGTGAGCAAAGTCAAAATTGCGACTACTCAGCGTCTGTTAATTTTATTTGCAGCTTTAAGGGCTCGTAAAGTAGCGCGGAAAAAGCGTAGAGGCCGTTTAATGGATTCCCTTTGGCCCTTCTCCTCTCTTCAAGCTGGCCTAAAAAAAAGGTTCCTGCTCTTGAGAAAAAGTTACCATAATAAACGGTTTTTGCGCGTTGCGACAACGCCAACTTGAAATTTCTGGCCAAGAGCGCCTGCGGGTAGGCAGCAAAAAAAAAAAAAAAAATGGAAAGCATTCCCGAAACTCTGAAGCACTTACAATCTGCATATGTGCGCGCTCAAAGGTGCGGGTGATAATAGTTCTTTTTTTCGCAAATATTTGCGAATGCAAGAGCGCTTGTTGCGAAAATTGGGATGAGGCTGTTGCTGCACTTAAGTCTGCGGGCCTACAATGAAGCGGCGAGCGGAAAAACCCACTCACATTCTGTTTGTTCATTGGTCGCACATATCAGCGAAACAACAAAGGAAAGTGAAGCCGTAGTTGGTGTTTAAATATTTTTGTTGCCCAAATAAAAAACAGCGGTGCAAGACAGTTGAGCGACCTATTAATACCCTACCAATGGGAGCTATGTATTTACTTACTTATGAGATATACTTGATTGTATCAATTGGGAAATATGTTACCCATAAGAGCCCACTTTGCATTAAAAGCAGGAACCTCAAATCAGCTTTGGCGTACCACTTGGCTTTGAGTGGCAAGACTGAATGTGTAACAGGATTTGGCAGTGCTTATGTTCAATTGCCAACAAATTGTGTGCAGCTTCTGTCGAACTGCAGGGTATGAAAAGCCGCAGTTGCTGCAGATACCGATTTACCATTTGGCTTTCAACCAAATGGACATGCAATCCTATACATGTATATATACATATATTATATCGCAGCTGGGAAGTGGGGAAATCATGCTACCTGCCATGAAAACTGTATACATTGATTGCATTGATTTATGGGCCAGATGCTGCTCCATGCGGCTTGTTGCGCACTTTATGGCCATTTCGATTGGCTCTTTGCATCAGCAAAAAAGACTGAATTGCAATGCCGTTCCTTTGCCAAGTGCCGTGCCATTCTGCAACATTTTAAAGCCGCTTTGCGGCAAAAAGCCAGCCATAGGCCCACGCCCACAAGAGCCAACTCACAAGGACTATAGTCACATTATGTCCAATCACATTCATATGGCAAGGCGCTGACAATAGGCGGATGATTTCGAAAGACGCACTACACTGTTCTTGATTTTGCACATTTTAGGTGTGTTGTAAACGTGATCAAGTATAAAAGGCCAGTGGCAGCCATTTTTGTGGATTGTTCCATAATTATCCTGAGTGCTTATTTCCTGCAACTATTTTTACTAGATATTTTAACCAGTACCAGACCTAAGATACAGCTTGGAGAAAATCTGCATGGGGCTAATTGGAAGCCAGCATCTGAGTGTGTGTGACAAATTGCCGAGATGGTAAAGAAGCCGTTAACAAGGATATTCACTCACTGGCAATCCGTAATGGGAAATTATGGGCGACTTTGTTTTGTTTCAGGCTGCGTAAATGTGTGCCTTTCGTGGAGGTCCTTTTGTCAGGACCTCAGGCGAATGGCCGTTGGCTGAATCGTTTGCAATTTATGCGACAGCGGCAGCGGCAGCATCAGACAGGCACAAAAGCAAACAGCCACAAACAAAACCCTATTTACCTTTATGTGTGCCGGCTGACATTGCGTATGCGACATGTTGCACAATCCGTAGGCAATTGGGCTTTGAATTTCACAATTACTCGCCAGTTGCGGACAGCACGCAAATGTAATATGAAGTAATAATGAAATTAGCAAACAACGGACGAGCTCTTTGACAACAGCAGGCCTGTCCTGATTAGATTACCTCTCCCCATAATGATGTTGATGGAATGGCAATTTGGCAGGTGCCTGGATGGGGTGTCCTTGCTGAGGTGTGAATTGAATCGGAGTTCATTGGATCACAGCTCAGGTCGGCATTTATAATGTCTTTAAATAATTCCACTTTGCAGCCTAATAGCCAATGTTTCCTTACAAATTTATTAAAATAGACGTG